GTTAATGTGCCAGACTGCAAAGTAGTTTGAACTGCATGGTTGGCAGTTCAAGCTCACCAGCTGCTTGCTCCTTGGAAACTCTATACAGGGTCGCTATGGGTCAGAACTGACTTGACAGCACTTAACAACAACAACAGTGATCATGGGATGACATTAGACTCCATTCCTAATTGAATAAAATCAGACAATACAAATGATTCTAGAACATAAATATGGATAAGCTATGAAGACTAGATTCTGAATATTGAGATAACCATCCTAACTCTGACAGCCTGTAATAGCCTAGATGTGTCTGTATTGACATTTAACTACTTAATTAAGAGGCTCTGGTAGCATAGTTGTTATGAGTAGGCCTGCTAAACCCAAGGTCAGCAGTTCAAAACTATTCTTTCATAGGAGAAAGATGAGGCTTTCTGCTCTCATAAAGATTTACAGTCTCGGAAACCCTATGCAGGGTTGCTATGAGTCAAAATTGACTCCACGGCACACTACCATCATCACCAATTACTTACATAAATTTGGATCACTGTCGTACTTTGAAAGTGATTTCTATGCAGCAATTAAAACCTTCATATTATCCAACAAAAAAGTATGATATACAGTTTCTGGCTTCCTGCTGTGGGACTGTAGGCTAAGCACTGGACTACTAACCACAAAATCAGTGGTTTAAACCCATCAACCACTCCTTGGAAACCTTACACAGGATTGTTATAAGTTGGAATTAACTCAACTGCAACGGACAACAACAGCATAAAATTTCTGATCAGAGTGGTGGCCTCCCACGGTCATAGATGACTCTCTGTGGGAGATGGAATCCAGGGATGGGATATGGCTCAGGTTCATTTCTGTTGGTATTTTCTGAATAATTTAAGATGTAGCTATTCTGTAACTGAGGTACAGACTGCAGTGCATGAACAAATTATTAAATGGCTAATGTTATGATTTATCTTGTGCATGTTGGCCTGACCCCAGTAATGGTGAACCCTTGAGAACACCCTGTTATTAAAAGGGGCAAGTGGGAATTCACTGAACTATGGATTACACCTTTCATCTGTGGAGAGGTAGCCTCAGAGGGTACATCTGGATGATGCAAGTCATGCTCTACCACAGCTGTACAAATGGGTCCTCTGACCTCTCTTAGGCCCGAGGAGAACATTGGATCCATGATGTATCTTCTGAGAAGCTGAACAACAACTATTTCCATGTGACTCTCAAAATACAATCAACTGGGATTCATGAATGATTCAGTAAATGTTCTACTCAGCAACCATTTCTTAATTGGAGAGAACACAAATAAATCCCTTGGTAAAAGAGAATGTATATTTCTTCATTAGGCTTATCTGCAGCTTCTGCTTTAAATTCCTCTTCAGAAGCAGTAACAATCCTACTCTAACAAAATTGACCAGTATTTAAGGTTTGGCTGACTTTCCCCCACTTAAATCCTGGAGAGGTTACTTCCATAGTAAGAAAAACCAAGTTGTAATCATTTCACCTGGTTCTTGGGTTCCATGGAGAAGTTGTTGCTTGTGGATGAATCTTAGGTGGGATAAGATCTTGGGTTAAGTTTGAAATGACCTTGATATTATTGTTACATGTCATTGAGTCAGTTCTGACTCATAGCAACCCTTTTTAGAATTTCGGAGGCTATAAATCTTTATAGGAGTAGAAAGCCTCATCTTTCTCCCATTTGAAATGACGTTGGAGTCTTTATTTGTACAACTTTCCATGTTTAACAAGCTGTAAAAAACGAAGCTATAAAAGACAACTTTATTATTTGGTAGAGTATTTAATATGCAGGTTTCAATTATTACATAGCAATGACTTTCAAAAATATGACAATAATACAACTTAATTAACTAATCAAATATTAATTTATATGTATCTTTTGGTCTTAAAGTTTGTCAATAATTCACACTAAATACCTGTGTGCTTTATCAGTAAGCACAGTTTTTTCTCTGAATAAGAAATTTGAGTTATGAACTTCAGTTCTAAAGTTCTTACTTGAGCTAGATGAAGTTATTTTATTTGATCTTTTGTACTCTTTGAGAAAAATGTTTTCAAAGATAAATCAGTTGACCTCTATATGACAAATGAAAATAATTTATTATATAGATAAGTAAAATAATATGTTTAGGTTTCCAATAGGAGAGCTGACAATGTATCTGAAACTATTTACTAGGAGATTCTCTGATCTATTTTTTTCAATTTCACTTCATTTTTTTCTCTCTCTCATCTCTATTTCATTCTCTCTCTGGGTTTCCTGTTTCTAGCTCTAACTACCCCATGAGTGTGTTTGTGTGTCTTCAATTCTCTTTCCATTCATTTCCTTCTCTCTCTCTTTTTACTTAGATCTCAAAGAATTGACTCTATGGCACTTAACATTAACAACAACTAAATACTAAAATTGTTTTTAAAGTATATATATATATATGCTGTTGTGTTGGTCCCAACCTATAGTGACCCTGTATCCTGTATAGGGTTTTCAAGGTGTGGCTGGTAAGCTTGAACCACAGACCTTGTGATCAAACTAACTTTGCAGCCCAGTGCATTAACCCAGAGAGCCACACCAGGATGCCATCCACACACACACACACACACACACACACATATATATATACACATTTGTTATTGTTGTTAATTTCCATAGAGTCAGTTCCAACCCATAGCGACCCTGTGTAGGGTTTCCAAGTAGTGACTGGTGAGCTTGAACCGCTGGCCTTCTGGTTCAAATTACTTTGTAGTCTGGTGCATTAATCCACAGCACCACACCAGGACAATATATATATATATTCACTGAAGCATTTTTGGAATAGTGACCCTGTATAGGGATTTTGAGGAGCAGCTGATGAACTTGAACTGCAGTGATAAATTATCTATTAAAAATTAACAATAACAATGTACAGTATATATTCATTTGTGATGCTATCAACTTTTGGATAAACTTATATTATTAAAATGCATCCATAAATAGCAAATGCAATATTTCTAAATACAAATGCAAATCTGTCTTGGAAGAAGCCAGTATTTTCTTTAGAAGTGAGATGGCAAGACTTTGTCTCTCATACTTTGGACGTACTGTCGGAAAGGACAAGTTTCTGGAGAAGAACATGATGCTTGGCAAAGTGGAGGGTCAGCAAAGGAAGCCCTCCAAAGAGGTGGATTGCATAGTGGCAGCAATAACAGGTTTATAAATAAGAGCAATTGGAGGATAAGCATAGGACTAGCCATTGTTTTGTTGTGTTTTGCATGAGCTCATTATGAGTTGGAACCTACCACAATAAATATCAATTCAGATTTGAAAGAATAAATAAGCCTTAGTTTATTGTATAGACAAAAAGTGTCCCAGAAGTCAAAATCAGAACCTGGTCTATGTGACTCTAAGACCTTTGTTTACATTCTACACTTAACCATGTTTCTTATCCCCACCTCTGGGACTTTGCTCATGCTTTTCCCCCTGATGGGAACACCCTCTGTCTTCCTTTTAAACTTAAATTATTTATCTTTTATGTCTTCAGCTCACATTAACTTCTTTGTCAGTATTTTACATTTGCTAGGCCTGAACCTTAAGGAAGGAGTCCCAGTGATGGAGTGGATTACTCCTTGAACTGCTAACTGCAAGGTCAGCAGTTCTAATCCACCAGCCTTGCCTCAGAGGAAAGATGAGGCTTTCTGCTTCTGTAAAGATTTATAGCCTCAGAAATCCTACAAAGGGTGACAATGAATTGGAACTTCTCAATGCACACAACAGCAGTAGCAGTCACTAAAGAAAATGGGCCACATCTGACATTTGTTTTATATTCTTCAAATTTGTAGCATCTGCTGAGTTTTTAAATTGTTTTTGTGGTTTGCTTACCTAATTAGGGAATAAGGGGCAGTGAAATGACAAAGTAAAAGGCTAACCATGATTGTCCCTTTCTTCATTTAAATAGCTTTTTGAAAAAGGATTTCTCATTGAGCCATTGTGGAAAGAGAAAGAAAACATCACAAAGGCAGGTGACAACTGTGATTCAGCCTTGAACTGGAAGTTGAAGGTATGGTTTGGGTCTTGGTTACAACTGAAGCAAATCTAGGAACACAAATGTTACAAATTGTAGTCAGTAATTGTCATCATTGACCAGCCAATCTCAGACAACAAATCAACTCTCAGGTCTGGAGAATGGGTTGACAACAGCATTCTGTTCACAGTTCGTTACCATTTCCCTGTTTGATACAATGTATTGAATTGTATTTGAGTCCACTGTATCTTTGTTGTTGTTGTTAAGTGCTGTCGAGTCAGTTCTGACCCATATCGACCCTGTATAAGGTTTCCAAGAAGCAGCTGGTGAGCTTGAAGCTCCGACCTTGCAGTTCAGACCACCCTTGTAGTCCAGCATATTAATCCACAGCACCACACCTTAGTAATTTATTAGGAATCTTGAGAAACAGTTAATGTGCTCAATGGCTAACCAAAAGGTTGGCTGTTTGAGCACAGCCAGAGGTACCTCAAAAGAAAGGCGTGATGATTTACTTTTGAACAATTAGTCATCAAAGACATGATGGATCGCAGTTCTTCTCTGTCATACCTGGCAGCATTGTGAGTCGGAATCGACTCCATGGATATGGTCTGGACTTTGGGTGACAAGTAACTGTCATCATGCTGAGAACATTATGAATTTCCCCCAAAGAGAATCATTCATTAGAGCTTTGTGAGAAATAAAACTGTTCATCCTTCACTAGAATCCAGAGGTATCTTTTAAAAAAATATGAGTGTGATTTATGATTTAGAATATTTACAATTTGCAAATTATGATATTATTTTCTTTTTTCCCTCCCTTGCTGTCACTGCTTTCAGAAATTCCTGGTGTGGATCTAGAATTCCCATATTAATCTGATGACTACCACTACCGCTCCAACTACAACTTGAGCCAAATAAATGAAGCCAAATAATCACTAATTATAAATCACATGTTCCCTTTTTTTAGAGTTGTCAACTCTCAGTCAGAATTCATATTAGTATCTGGTAAATGGGAAACAAACGTAATGTGACTGAATTCATTCTTTTGGGTCTTACAAAGAACCCAGAGCTGCGGAAAATATTCTTTGCTGTGTTTCTAATCATGTATGTGGCCACCGTATTGGGAAACCTATTCATTGTGATAACTCTGACTGCTAGTCCAAGTCTGAGGTCACCGATGTATTTTTTCCTTACTTCCTTGTCAGTCATGGATACTATCTATTCTTCTGTCATTGCCCCCAAAATGATTGTGGATTCCCTCTCTGAAAGCACTACCATCTCCCTGGAAGGCTGCATGACCCAGCTCTTTGGAGAACATTTCTTTGGTGGAGTGTCCATCATCCTTCTCATTGTGATGGCCTATGACCGCTATGTGGCAATCTGTAAGCCCCTGCACTACATGACCATCATGAGTCCTCGGATGTGTTGCCTACTGATAGGAGGGGCCTGTCTAGGAGGATTTTCACATGCAATGATACAGCTCCTTTTCATGTACCAAATACCTTTCTGTGGTTCCAATGTCATCGATCACTTCATATGTGATTTGTTTCAATTGTTGACACTGGCCTGCATGGACACTTATGTCCTGGGTCTCTTGGTCATCCTCAACAGTGGGGTGATGTGTGTTGCCATCTTCCTAATCCTCATTGTCTCCTACATAGTCATCCTCTGCTCCTTGAAGTCTTACAGCTCTGAAGGGCGGCACAAAGCCCTCTCCACCTGTGGTTCCCACCTTATGGTGATTGTCTTGTTCTTTGTCCCATGTATTTTCTTGTACGTAAGACCTGTGGCCACATATCCCATAGACAAAGTGATGGCTGTATCAGATGCCATCGTCACACCCATGTTAAATCCCTTGATCTACACCCTGAGGAATGCAGAAGTCAAAATTGCCATGAAGAAACTTTGGATAAAGTGAGAGACTTTCTTTGGCAAGTAACTGTCTTCATCCTGAGAACATTATAAGTTTTCCATGAAGAGAAGTCACTCTGAGATGTGTGAGAAATGAAACTGTCAATTTTTTTAAAGTAGAATTCTTAAGGATCTTTTAAAAATATGTCTGATTTATGATTTCATGTATTTACAATTTAGAAATTATTATACTCATTTGCTTGATAGCCTTCCTTGATTTCCCATTGAACTTCCTTACTTGTCCTAGAATTCCCTGATTAAAGTGACTGTTGTTTCTCCATTTTCAAGTACTCTTTGACCTTCTCATCCTCACTCCCCAGGCACACTGGTTTTTGTTGTTGTTGTTGTTTTTTCCTTACCTGTTCCTATTGTCTTCTAAGTCCTTTCTTACAGCAGAGACTTTGCATTGGAACACTTCTCTACCTGAAAACAAGTCCTGTTCTTCAAATGGCTCTTTCCCTGTAACTCCTCTGATTATAGATTAGGATTACTTCCTTTGAAGACGTGAAAACACACGTCTCTCATCATTTTCTATGTCTACAGATTCTTAACTTCCTTATAGCCGTGATCAAACATGGAACAAATGTTGTATAACTACCAGTGGTCTTCTGTTCCCATTTTCCTCTGTGCACTGAAAGGGTCTAAAGGAAGGACTTTGATTTTGATTTATGCCTGACAACTATCTATTTTCAATAAGTATCTATTGAATGGTTATAGAAGACAAGCATCTTCTGATGCTTAGTGATAAAAAATAAACAAAAAATCAGACAGTGACTATTACAATAGAGTTAATGGAAATGGAAAGCTGTGATTATTTCTGGGAGAATGCGTCATAGTGGGTAATCACAGAAGGTGTCTCTGAGCAAGTAACATCTCAAGTGGATTTTGAATTCTGCTGAGGTTTTCTTATGAAAAGAAATGTGTTAATTCATAAGATTAGTAATAATGGTAAGAGTTAATAATTGACAAGAGTAATAAGAAGGAAATATCCATGTGAGTATGAATGGGATAAGGATTCTAGAGAAAGAAAATACACAGAGTAACTCTAAGGCAGAAATTACCATGGTGTTTTCATGAAACTATAAAAGGCCAAAGGCTCTCTGGTGGCACTGTGAGTTAGGTGTGAGGCCACTAACCACAGAGACAGTAGTTCAAACCCACCCGTTGCTCTATGGGAAAAGATGAGGTTATCTGATCCTATAAAGATTCACAATCTCAGAAACTCTCTGAACAGTAGCTAGGAGTTGGATCTGACTCAATGGCAGTGCTTGATGTTGTTGTTGTTGTTCATAAAAGATCAGAGTGGCTGGAACATAACGATTAAGATCAAGTAGATAGAAGTGGCATCAAAAAGGCAGGCAGGGGTCAAACCATGTAGTGTAGATGTAACTGAGTCTAGGCCTTCTCTGAACCACCATTGTTGTTGTTGTTGTCAGGTGCCATCGAGTCGGAACCGACTCATAGCGACTCCATGCACAGCAGAAAGAAACAATGTTCGATCCTGGGCCAACCTCACCACCGCTGCCACCCCCGAGTCCATCAATGATGCCACCTGGCCGATCCATCTCGTTGGAGGTCTTCCTCTTTTTCTCTGACCCTCCACCCTACCCAGCATGACATCCTTCTCCAACGATTGTTTCCTCCGTACTACATGTCCAAAGTAGGAGAGACGAAGCTTAGCCATCCTGGCCTCCAAGGAGCACTCTGGCTGTACTTCTTCCAAAACAGATCTATTGGTTCTTTTGGCAGTCCATGGCACCCTCAGTATTCTCCTCCAACACCACAACTCAAAGGCATCAATTCTTCTACGATCCTCTTTATTCACTGTCCAGCTTTCACATCCATATGAGGCTATTGAAAACACAATGGCCTGGGTCAGGCGCACCCTAGTCCTCAAGCTGACATCCACCATAGAGCATGAATTTGTTACCTGTTCAATATGACTCACAATAAAAAATTCCTTTCAAACCTCATATAGACCCTAATGTTAGTACTATACAGCTATTGAGCAACATGATGTGAGAAGCTTTTGCAGGTAGCTCTCTATTTTTTTTCCTTTATTTTTCAATTATAGAATAAACTTCACAATACTGTCTTAAGATATTTCAAAGTAGTCACATTAAATTTATATTTAATTGTTTTTCCACTTACCATATAGAAGAAAAACACCACTACCTTAGCAGGGATTTTATTTTATTATAATCATATTATATAAATACTGTGAGTGATTTAGTATAAGGCCTTAAAATTTATATAGCTGTAATTTTTCAACCAAACCAAATACCAGGCATCAAGTCAATTTGAACTTATAATGATCCTGCATAAGCTTTCGAGGCCGTCAGAATTTACAGAAGAAAATCTCATCTTTTTCTTGAGGACAGGTTGGTGGACTTGAACTTGTGACCTTGTGGTTTGCAGTTCACTGTTTATACTACAGTGCCACAAGGGATCCTTATGCATGTACAATGTATGAGGTTTAATAAGACAAGGTTGAACTTCTTGCTTCTATTTGTTTAGAGCCTTGCTGACTATGTCTTCCTCTGATTTAGGTGTGTTGTTGTTGTTATGTGCCGTGGAGTTGGTTCCAACTCATAACGACCCTGAACAGAGTTTCTGAGGCTGTAAATCTTTACGGGAACATCAGTCAATTATTTTATATATTTTCAATAAGTAATTAAAATTAGTTCTTATTTAATGGGGTGATTATTTTTCTCATTATATACAATTTAACAGATTAATGTTTGTTGTTATGTGCCATTGAGTCAGTACAAACTCAACGCATCCCTATGCACAACGGAACAAAACACTGCCCGGTCCTGCACAACCTCACAATCTTTGCTACATTTGAGTTCACAACTGCTGCCACCATGCCAATCCATCACGTTGGGGGTCTTCCTCTTTTTTTCCAACCTTCAACTTTACCAAGCATGATGTTTTTCTCCAAGGACTGGTGCCTCCTGATAATTTGTCTGAAGTAGGAGAGACTACCCTGGCCATCTGGCTTCTAAGAAGCATTCTGACTGCATTACTTCCAACACAGATTGGTTTGTTTATGGCAGTCCATGGCACTTTCAATGTTCTCCTCCAACACCATAACTCAAATGCATCAATTCTTCTACAGTCTTTCTTATTCATTGTCTAACTTTCATATGAATATGAGGTTATTGAAAATACCATGACTTGGGTCAAGCACACTTTAGTCCTCAAATTGACATCTTTGCTCTTCAACACTTTAAAAT